TTAACAAATGGAAGTGTGCTAATTAGCGCTGGGAATACTGGTAGTGGGTTTTTAGCTAGTGCTGAATTATATGACCCAATATTTAGCACCTGGACACCTACAGGAACTATGAGTGCTGTGCGAGGCGCTCATATCGCAGTCAAGCTAGCAAATGAAAAAGTATTAGTTAGTGGTGGTGATGGTGGTAGTGGTGGTGGTGGTTATTTAAACACTGCTGACTTGTATGATCCCATAGCAAATACTTGGACAGCTGTTAGTCCGATGAATTCGAAGCGTTGTTCTCATATGGCATCTATATTATCAAATGGTAGCGTCTTTGTTGCTGGTGGATACAATGGGGGTTATTTAACTAGTGCTGAAATATATAATCCCACAACCAATACTTGGACAAATACAGCTAGTATGAGTTATGCCCGACAGTTGGCTACAATATCGGTATTATCAAATGGAAAAATATTAGTTGCTGGTGGTGATAATGGTAGTCCATTAAACGTTGCTGAATTATATGATCCATCGACTAACACTTGGACAGTTACAGATAGTATGAATTATGCGCGAATTGGTCATGCAGCAACTGTTTTGTCAAATGAATATGTATTAGTTACGGGTGGATGCACTGCTAATAGTATTGCTGAAATATATGATGTATCAACAGAAACTTGGACAGTCACTGGAAGTATGATGTCTATACGTCAGTATCACACAACATCCCAATTGACAAATGGAACAGTATTAGTTGCTGGTGGTATTATTAGTACTAGTACTTATTTAAACAGTGCAGAATTATATTAAGCATCATATACATGACAATATTTTCTTTTATCAAGTTAAAACTATTTATTCATAAATACTTTGCTAAAACTATCATTAATCATAATTTATAATTGTTGAATAAAATCGTAGTTTCTAAAAGAAAGAAATATTTTTTAATGAAATCGAGCTATTTAAACAATGTGTAGCTAATTAAAAGTCATTTGAATTTATTTGAACATTTTCTCATACATACAAGAGACGAAAGCGGGAAAACGTTTTGCTACTTAAATGATCACAATGATCAGTTGTTTTCTATTTTATCGATCGATGTCTTAAATTTAATACTACAATTGATAACAATAAAAACGTATTAAAATGTTAACAATTTGAATATTTCAACATTAGAAAATAATCAAGCATTAAACAATTGCTTTTTTTCTATCACGAATATGATGGTTTATCATATTATTCAATCAATCTCACACAATATACCAATGAAAAATAGTTGATTGTCACAGGTTGATGATGAATATTGATACATTCTATTAAGATTTGAGATCGAACAAAATTATAAAAAAAAGACTGAAGATGATTTTTATATTGTGATCTACTAAAAATTAATTCGTAGTAAAAAGGAATTTATGAAACTTATTGTCGCGTAAAGTTCAATAAATCAAGATTTATTTCACATCATCATTTTTTTCAAAGTTTGATCGATGAAAATTTGTTCGTGATTGAATAAATTCTAATTATGAATTATCAGATTTCAGATCCATTTCAAGCAGATGATTTTCAACAACATACTTTGGACAAATTGATTTCAATCACGAAATTTTTTTGAATAGGATTATTCTTTCTGGTTTAAGGGATTCTTATCCATTAAATTAAAACAAAAAAATTGATCAAAGTAAAATAAAACAATTCATATACTCGTGTTCTTATAATTTTTATAAGAAAAATCGTTAGAAAATGTTACGTGAGTAAGTATCGTTCTATAGTTTGCAATTGAAATTTCGTTGGAATATGTTGTATTAACAAAAGTGGTGTTATGTTATTTAGAATCATTTGACAATGAAAGTTGGCGAAGAAGAAGACGGTGACGAGTAAATGCTCATCATGAAGAAAATGATAACGAGGACTCGAATTCAAATAGTATATTCGCATCCAATGTATTGAATAAGATCAATGGTTTAAATGAAAAAACTGATCGACATCGTCTGTGTTAGATTATTTTGTATTTGTTTGTTGTTTTGATTTTTTTGAATGTTTGGAATATCTTGAATTGAAAATCTCTGTACTTCTTATCAAACTCAACAGATAGAATGGCTAAGATTGATTTTGGGTGATATTTGAATGCTGAATTTATTTTTAGATTGGAAATTAACGTTAGAAAAAAATCATTGTAAAATAAAGCTGAATTTTTCTTTTTTTTTCTTTCGTAAGAAAATAGTGATGGGAAGAGTGACAATTCCTGAGAACAATATTTATTTTTGAATCAATGAGTTTGTATGATTTTTTGATAAAAAAATATGAGTTTTGATATATGACTGAATAAAAAAAGCTATTGATAATGAAACAAATTAACGATCTAATTTCTATTTTCGTTATGAAACTGTATCAACTATTCCAGCACTAGCAACAACACAAAGCAAGTGAATGAGAGGGTGTGGATGTGGATATCTCGTTCTGATAGCAACCCACACGCACATCCTTACAATAGAGTTCGAGAGTATTTCACCATGTGGACAAATATCTTGATTTGATAGATTTTGTATTTGAGCAACACATTCATCTATAAGTAAAAACAGGGTAATTCATGCAATGAATGCTAATTAAACAATAGGAGATAGACGAAAACATCGTGAAAACAACAAATCAATATTAACATCACAGAAATTCGTGATTAATTTTTGATGATCTGATCGAATAATTTCAAACAATTCTTCAACTAATTCTGCTGGTAATCGATTTGATAAAGAAATAATACACCATAACTTTCAGGTATGATTGTTCTATAGTAATGGAATTCCATTAATATTGTTGATAATGATCTTATTCATATATGAGAAAATGATTGACATCAGTACATGATAAATAAATATACGAAGAAATAGAAGATGAAGAAACATACAGCAAATAACGCATTGACAGAGAATTAGAGATAATAAGAACAAATCCGAATAAATCTACAAAAAAAATACTGCTATAACCCATAGTATTAAGTAGTATCTTTGCCTTGTCCCATTAGATAGAAACACGATCAATAACTCTTCATTGTTGGTCGTTTAGAGTATTGTGTCTAGATGGATAGATGCTTCTTGAGGGTTTGTGAGGGTGTGGATGTAAGTGAGGTGCGTGGGTGTGCGGTTTCTGTCTTCTTCTTCTTTCTTTAACCACACCCACACCCTCTAGATGGAACCTGTTGTAAGATTGGTTCAGATTCCTTTTCATCTTCACTGATATTACTTAATGATTTTCCTTATCATTAGTTGTAATTAGATGAGGAAAATGGAGTTTGGTCTGATTGAATGATACTTTTTCTCGTACTTTCAAATGTTTCAGCTCCGGATTATGTGTCTTTCTCTCTTGAAACATGAAACCAGAGAATAGTGTTATGATCTTAACCCTGAACTTGTATCATCTATTCATATGATAGTGATACCTCATTTAGGTGTTGTTTCAGTGATTACATCACAGTTGATGTCTTTAAAAACACTGTGATATGTGAGTGTACTATCGTTTGCAATTCATCTCTGAAGATCGAACAAATAATAAAAGACGCTGGGTAAGCGCTTTTGAGAAGACAACAGTTTATTTTAAAACTTGAACTCTTTTGTCTATACGATAAACTAACACATGACCAAATTTTTTTGCTACAAAATTAGTTAGAACATAAAACAACGCGTCACAAACAAACACAGTCACGAAACGGAAAAAAGCATATAAAAAACTAATTAAGAGCTGAAAACACAACAGAAAACAGAGAGAACTAATGAAGTTTTGTAATGTGACTGTATGTTTTCTTAGCGAAATACTGCTTTTAATCGAATCATTTTTAGTTGAATGTCACGATAGAAACTCAATGATAAAAAGTAAACGGTCAGGATCAAAATAAAGAACTTCAGTAGAGTAGGCACGACATACAGAGAAAAAGAACACAACATATAATCAAAGTATTTACATAGAACTTTCAACTGTGCGAAATCACTTCTCCATTAGAAACTGAGTTTTCAATCTCAACGAATTCGACTGTCTTTGAGTCAGTGATGTTCTGGTACTGTCTCAACGGTGGCTGCTCGAGTCGATGGTACAATTCGATTCGTTTCAACTGTTATTCTTCGTCGTTTCGAGTACAATCTTTTCAAAAGTTGCAAGAATCGTGATCTTAATTCTTGCTGATTCAAGAAAATTGTAAATACAATGAGCAACTGATGTAGTATCGTAAGATTTTCTAAAAAATCTTCCAAATCGTCTGAAATACCATTCAGAAATCCGGGATAGATGCTTCGAAGTGCTTGACGGAATGCGTACGGCAGTTCGGTAAGAGAAAAGAGAATTGTAAGTGGTAAAAATTGTATGAAAAGTTTCTTCGTACGTTTCCATGTTTCCTGTATTGTCTGCCGTTTATTTGGGTTAGTAGAATTTGCTGTAAGCATTCTCACCGTTTGCTGCTTCTGATAGACGACGTGTCCAATTAGAAGTAGATCAAAAACAATGGCTACAGGAACTGGTAACGTGTAACTGATAATTTGAGCAGCGTTGAGTAACTGTAGGCTGACTTTTTGATAATAGCAAGGAGCATTGCAGCTTTTTGAAATGGGGTCGTAAACTTCCGTGTTCCCACAAGGAAACAAAACGTGCAAGTAAAAGTGAAAGATAGTAATAAAAATTACCATCAGAATAACGGGGAAATAGTGAAAGAAAAATTTTCTCACTTTAGTTTTCTGCGTAATATTTGAATGAAAGATGAGTAAATAACGTTCACAACTCGCTAAGGAAACTAGCCAAAGTTCAAGTATGTAAAGTGTATTGTCAAAAAACTGAAAAAAGACACAGAAAGGTTGAGGATTGTGTAAACTTCCAACAAAAGAATTTCCTTCTGCTTGTGGAAGTAAAAGGAAAGGTAAATCGAGGCCTGTTACGAAAATTGAAACGATTAGAAGACAGACAATAGTGAAAGTAAAGAAACGTTGTGCACGTTGTTTTCGTTGATAGAGAAAATAGTGAATTAGAAGACCAACATTACAAGCTACAGAAGGAATATTCAAAAGAACAAAAATGTAGAAAAACACTTCGTTTTGGATATCAGCCGAGGAGGAATCGGATGACCAGTCAGTCGACGACTCATTTGTAGTGACGTTTAATGTAACAAGCGACATGTTTGAAGGTTTTCTTCCAGTAGCTATGTTTGAAAATGTTTTATGACTCTTGAAAACTAATTTTCTTTATTTATCTCTTTCTCTTTCTCTTGCATAATTATAAAAAAAATTATGTGCGTAAATTAATATGAATTTAGTCAAAGGAAGAACTAATGCGCAATTAATATGTCACCTTTCTAATGAAATAAAAAGCTAAAAGCCTGATTTTCTAGATTTAGAAAGTTTTTTTTTCTATTTTTTTCTTTTATCTTTCTATTATGTCGTTTAAATTTCAAGTCTATATTTAGAGTTACGTGTTTTTATACATGAAATTTTATACTCGATTTTAGTTTATTCTGATTAATATGAATGATAAAAAAAAATTATGGGTACTCAACTTATTACAAATCATCAAGCTTCAAGTCCTGATTGCCACAATCAGCAAGAATAGTCAAGAAAATCAACGAACTAACAAGCATCGGATTCTACTAAGTCATCAACAGCAGCCAGCAAGAAGCAATAATAAAATTCAAGCAAAATTTCTGTACCACAAAACATGAAACAAATTTATGAAAATCCACTACTGCAGAGCTGGATGAGTCTGAGTTTTGACTCCACTGTTTGACTCGAGTCATTCATCCAAAAAAAAATTTTTATTTTTAGCAAAACATTACAATTTATAAAGTTAAATTTCTATTTTTTTAATAACGTTCATTCTAATCGAATATATTGCATGTGAATAATTTGTTTCTATTTATCTATTCATATGATCATAAATGATAATCTATACGCGTTCTTGAACATATTTTTTTGTCTCATTCTATTTTTTTGCGACAGAATATTGAAGAATCTCCTAATATATAAAATATGAAGACTTTGTGAGCAACATTGTTACTTTTATTAAATTATATATAGAAGAAATACACTTGTTGTACACATTTGTTTTATTATTAAAATTACACAATTATAAGTTTTGTCAATGATATTTATGATATGGAAATATCTAAACATTTGAATATAAATATGTGAATGAAAAGAAAGAAGAAAATATATATGACATTATTACACGAGAATAGTAAAAAAATAAAGAAGAACAAACAAAAATAGTATACTACAAATGAAAGATTATATAAGATATATATATATATACTCTTTGGCATTAATAAAATAAATAAAGCTTTGCATTGCCTCATAAACCATAGTGTTTCTTTATCACACTATTATATAATAATCGCCGGTATAAATACATTGTTAAATACAAACATATTGTATGATTTATAAATTTATTAATATTAATTAAATTTCATTGAAATTATTTCTATCATGTCAAATCTTGCTACTACATCAATGACACTTGATTGTTCAAATTCAAATATTAACATACATGAATTAAAGCAATCTGTTGTAAACAAAGTTTTTATTAATGTTCAATCAAAACAACCAAATTCATGGTTTGTTAAATATTCAATATGTTCACGAGAAGTTGTTGATAAATACGGCACTACATCTAATTTTGTATGACATATGAAGAATGATTAGCTACGAAAAACGTTAACAACGGTAAAAAACAATGAAACATTGATGATATGACCGAACAAGAAACAAATAAATATTCATCAATTGATCCTAGGGTGGGTGTAAGTGTACGTGTCGGTGTTCACTCTGTTATCACTCATGCCCACGCCCAAACCCACAATCACATACGTTGCCGTTAACGGATTTCATGAATCAACTGAAAATAAAGCAATTTATATGAATGAACGAATCAATGTAATAACTTAAATAATTCTAAACTAAATCTACTCTTGAATGAGTTGCGTTGTCATCGTGGACTTGGTTTACGTGTTTGATTAAATAAATCATTTAATCGATTCACAAGCACATGTCTTTGTCCACTAAGTTATTATGGAAATCAATGTCAATTTCAAAATCAACATCTCAGTTTAGCTATCAAATTTCATGTTTCAGGTCAATTAAGACAAATTCCTTTTATTATCTTAATTTAACTAATTCATAATAGAGATCAACGAATCATTCATTCATATAAACAAGTTACTTATTTATCCATTCGCGCTTGTAATATTAAATTCAATGCATCTCTACTTTCTTCAACTCGACCCAAAGGAATGAATATAACATATTCAATCCATATTGATGTTTATGAAAAATTTTCTCTTACATATTGGGGAAGTTCTTTTTATATCCAGTGATATTCTTATTCTTATTTGTTCATCGATTAGGATTTATTGTAAATATTCTATTTAAAAATGATCATGAAATTTGTTCAAATAATAAATATCTTTATGGAAGATGTTTGAATTATCTAAATAGAAAAGAAACATTTTGCCAATGTGAAGAAGGATAATTTAGTCAATATTGTGATATTCCATGTCACTGCATTCGTTCTGCACCCAATTCATTATGTATTCGTATGTTAAATAATAATTGATCCATATGTGTTTGTCGAGAAAATTATTTTACTTGAAAATGTTATCTTCGATATCGAATATGAGGGTGGGTGTGGGTGCGTTCTATTGCGGTTATTACGAAATCCACACCCTCAAGATAGGGCATATCGAAATACATCAATTTTATTTCTTATTCTCACTTGAACAAAAAACTATTACTGTTGTATACTTGTTTCGCTATCAGACTGTTTCTAAGTTTATTAAGTATGAATATATTTTTCAGTATCTTTATACGCATAATAATAATGAGATTCTAGTGCATCAAAGAAAGCCGTGACAGTACTTTTGATAATTATCATTGAGTTGTCAAAAATAGAAAAATGTTCATCCAACTGATTAATTATATAGAGTAATGTCGAATTGATTTTATCATCAAAGACAAACTGGTTCATCCTTCTAATGACATCTTCTCAAAATAGAAAAATTATTTTTGAAGGTGAATACTGATTGGTAATATATGACAAATTCACATTCATATCTACCTTTGTAGAACTATATAACTACTTGATTACATCGCTACACACATATTAGGACATTTCGGATGATAACATTAGTCGAAGAGTGAAATACTGTTTATATTCATCAAAGAAATCTTTTTTCACTCATTCCATTCATTTAGTTGCCACTGGCAGAGAAAAAACTATTCATAATGTGATACAATTTACATACTTTGAATCTAATCTGTTGTGATTTAGCATTAATAAAAAGTGATGACTACTGTATATATAAGGTGTGGATGAGGATGGTTGTTCATTTGTTATTCACGCCCACACTCATTCACTCTCACGTTATTTAAATATTTCATTTTTAAGTCTACACTTTCTTCACATTGATTGATCGTTATGCACCATATTTATTCAAAATTTTAGTAAAATATAACTGTTCATTCGAATAGATTGAAGGGTTTTCTTTTACACATTATTATTTTTCTTTCGATATTTTGCTTCAAAAAAACTTTTTCGCTCAAACGACACTATATCTTATAATTTCATGGGCCAGTTTTCAGCAAAACTTTATAAAATTAAAAAAGTCTATATTGTTTTTGTATTCAAAATAAATTCTTATTCACAGCCAAAACGCAGGTAACGCACAGACGTTTTTCCAACTTTGAACGATTGTATCTGGAGAACGGTAAGAGGGAGAGATCTGAAATTTTCAACAAACATGTAACTAAACAAGTTCTATAATAGTTCAAAGTTTGAGCCTTAACGGTTTAGCCATTCCCATTTTATAGATCAAATACGAGTGAAAACACACAGACAAAAAAGGCCCTTGCTTTTTAGTGAATACGAAAGACACGATAGATTCTACGAACTACTCCATGTTAATGAATTTTCGTTACAGAATATTTTGTAGCTGAACATCAGGGCTATCTATTGCTACAAAGAAAATATGAATTACTTGAAAAATGAATGAGTTATTGACAAAACTTGAAGTAACGCACAGACATTTTGGTAACGCACCGACATGTATTTTCATAAAAGTTTGCTAATCTTAAAAATATTATTTCTAATCTAAAAATATCACTTTAAAATATCAAAATAATAATGTTTATTTATATTTCAAGCGTTTAGCACTGATTTTTTATATTTTTGCTAGCGCTTATACATGTTCTTATTGATACAAAATGATAGAAATTTTTTACCTAAAAACGTTAAAAATTAGAAAAAAACAGTCCATTTTGATGTTGCATCACCGTACATTCGGCATAGTTGTGAAAACAATGCAAACGTATATCAGATTTAAAATTGTATCTGGAATCGATGATTTATAGCTAATTTATGTATGATATAATATAAATTTTTCGAACCTCGTGTCTGTGCGTTACCAAATTGCTTGGCACTGAGGCACTTGAGCTAAAAACCAATGTGTTCATTGGATAGCCTATCAAAAGTAGACGGAGGATCAGTATGAGTTTTGAAAATAAACTGCTTTAGTAACACCTAAATATTTACTAAACTTGATTTTCGGTAACGCACAGACATACATTTATTTTGGTTTTTCAAAGACATCTTTCTCATAGCAGAAACAATCTGGAGAAATTTTTTACAGATCAGAAGAAAGCCCATCTTCTGCGCTTCAAAATGATGTAAGATGCTTGATGATTATTTCTTTTGTTCTCTCGATGTATACACTTCTCTTAAAGCATGATGACTCATGAAATGTTACTAATCGATCCACCCGTTTGTTTCGTCCATATTTTTTCGTTAAATAAGCGTTGACCAATAAAAACAAAAATGAAGTTCTTGTTCAGAAAAGTGCGCTCTATCTTTTGGCAAGGTCCAATGTTGCTGAATTTTAACTTCTACTTCAATCATTTTGGTTGACCGTTAGCCGTTTTGGCTGTTCAGTCTTGTATAAAAATGAAGTATTTATGCTTTATGAAAAATGTGATAAATTCTTTAATTTTTGGATATATATGAAAAATAGTAATATCCTTCGACAAATTTCTATTTCACGTCGTTATCTTTATATTAGTTTTCAAATGGAATTTTATATCAAACAAATTATCAATTCTAAAATATCATCTTCGACCATATCGTAGCAATAAATTCAATTTTTTTAATCGATAAAATAAATGAAAATGGTTCGTGAATATATATATTATACTCATTTACATTATATTTTTCTAGTTTTCAAGAGTAAATCAACAAGCAATTTTATACAACGAATATTAATAAAATAATACCAATATGTATATGTAAACATGTCAATCTGACGTAGATTTTTCTTTTCTATATAAATTAGAAATGTGAATAAGTAATTTTCATTTTCGATATGGAGTGAGTGGGAAAGTGAATGATTTATGATCGAATAAGAGTAATCAATAATAAATATACAAATTAACGAAACTATTACTCATATTTTTTCGTTTATAATGAAAAAACCGTTAATTTAAATCATCAATACCATTGGCCATATTTTGTTATTATATTTCAACAAGTTGAAAAAGTAAAAACATATATACTGTAATTTTTCATTCTTTCAAAATGAGTCATTTTTTATTCATATATTCTGTCCTAACTCATATCTTGAAAATCTCGATGGTTTTTTGCTAATTTCAACAAAAAAAATCGGCGTAAAATCCTGATTTATAACTAGTTTTTCTAATGGATTTCGAATTATTGATTGATTAAAGAAACAATTTCTACGGATTTCTTTAATATTATTATAGACAAAAACAAAATTTCTGTTTTTTTTACGATATCGTTATTGTGTTATAAATGATATTGGACAATTAAGAAAACGATTAAATTAAAGAAGTAGGTAGTTTTATTTATATTCATTTCATTTGATTTCAAATGCTTCTTTTTTTTGATGAAAGATGATTCATCTCATTTACTTTTGTTTTCAATAAACAAAGTTTAAAAAATTGAAGTTCGTGCGAAAACATTTGTTTATTTTTCGAGTATTTTCTCATAAAATTAAGTAGAGTTGTTATACTCATTATTCTAGTTTACAATGTGTTTTTTTTTATGATAAATAATATAGTCGTCTGATGTTTTGAGTAAAATTTTCGATAATAATATTTATTAACAGTACGATAGTAAAATCAAATTTAAATTCATCAAAACGGCATAAGTAATTGGTACAATAGAGAAGAACGAAATTAGATAACAATGATTTATTATAAAAATCGATGATTATTTCGAATAACCATCGATTTTTGAGGATATGAGAAAGTTCAACAAAAAATTTATCTCCTGCAAAATTAAGTCAAGAAAAAAAATTTATGAATGAAAATATGTCTTATAGAAGATGATTTGTAAATATAGACATTATAAATCTTAAAAGTTACATATGAGATAATTGTTGCTTTTTAATTACACAAAGATAATTCTAAAATATCCATTTTCTTCTACTATTAGAGAATAACTATTTTTTTAAAACTTTCATAGTCGTAATACCTGTTTGTTGTACATACAATAAATGACGAATATTGTTTAATTGCAAGCTATTACGTCTAACTACTGACATATTCTTCATTAGAGTAGCGGAACTGATAAAAAAATTGTAATTATGTTTTATACCGTTATTTATTTTAGGTAATATGCATCACATAAATCAGAAAGAAAAGAGATATGTATGGTAACTGTGTATAATTACTTGCTTGTTTTTATGTTGAAAAGAAAGAGAAAAAGAAAAGAGATAATTTCTGTATTAGTGAGTGGTATGGACATAAAATTATGAATCTCCATCCTCTTTATATTTTTTTCAAATAGTTATTTATTTTTATTTTTATTCACATCAAGTATAGATAACTATTTTGCTTTAACGTCGATCACTTTTCTGTATTATTTCACGGTGATCACCACTAGATCATTTGTAAACTGATCAAACAAACACAGAGAAGCTCTTGAATTATTATTACTTCTGGAAACTGTCGTTTATTATCGATATTTTTTCTTATAGATTGGAATGGATTATATTGATGATATTAATTCGATCAACGATTCGTATTCTGGAGAAAATTCAGAATATACCAATGATCCATATTCTGGAGAACTTTTTGATACTAACAATGTAGACAGCAATGTAGAGTCGATTTCAAATATAGAGATTAAAATGCAGGTTCTTAAGAACCAGACTGATAAAAGATCGCCATATGCGGATGAAGAAACTGAGTATGCAATATCTCTTTGTCATATTAAAATAAATATAGTTTTTTTTTTTATTATAGAAAAACTTGTTCATCGTTAATAATAAGTATGTTACTGAGTCGTGAGTGCTTGGCTTGTACAATCTCAATCATATCAATGCTGGTCGGGATATTGGTAGTTGTTTATAGTATACCAAAAGAACCAGGTATGATCTGCTTATAATAAGTTTTTCCTATTGAAAATATTGAAATCAAAATTGTAAGCAGTGCTTTATCTTTATATTTAACGACATTCAGTTATAATAATCTCATGAATATTAGATTATCAGTTTATTGTTTGTGTATTTTTTAGTTGTAATTTGTGATATGAACTTTGCTTTGGTAAATCCTATACAAGTCGAATACAACTATCGGCCACAATCTGTTGCTGTTGGTGATTTCAATAATGATACTTGGATCGATATTGTTGTTGCAAATCGTGCAACGAACAATATAGCTGTGTTTTTTTGGATATGGTAATGCTGGTTTATCACCAACAGCAGTCACTTATTCTACTGGTACTAATTCTACTCCGTGTATGGTAACTGTTGGCGATTTCAATAATGATGGTCGACTTGATCTTGCTGTTGCAAATTATGGTGTTAATAATGTTGGTATATTTTTGGGGATTGGAAATGGTGCTTTTGGAAGTCAAAGTACACTTTCCACTGGTTCGTCACGTCCTCTTCGGATTTATGTAGCTGATTTGAACAACGACAAAGCACAAGATATGATCGTAGCCAATTATGGTACACAGAGTATTAGTATATTTTATGGAGATGGAACTGGAAAGTTTTCGAATGCAATGACATATTTTACAGGTTATGATTCTATTCCGATGGGAATTACTGTTGGCGATTTTAATAATGATAAACATATGGATATTGCTATCGCTAATTCAGGCACAAATAACGTTGGTATATTACTCGGAAATGAAAACGATACTTTTATAACTCAGAATATCTTTCCGACTGGTTATGGTTCACATCCATATTCGATCACCACTCATGATTTTAATGGTGATAACTTTCTTGACATTGTCGTTGCAAATCATGGTACTCATAGTGTTGGTGTACTTTTGGGAAATGGCAACGGATCTTTTTCACACTCAACAATCTATTCAATTGGTAATTCTATTCCAATTGCTGTTGTCATTGGTGATATGAATAATGACAATTATATGGATTTAGTTGTTACAAATAATGGTACTAATGATATTGCAGTTTTTATTGCGTATGGTAATGGTAGTTTTCGAAGTCCAACAATGTATTCAACTGGTTCTTTATCTTCAGTTTCAGTTGCCATAACTGATTTCAATAATGACGTTATACCAGATATTGTCGTTATTCATAATGAAACCAATGCTATTGGCATCCTTCTTGGATATAATAAAGGATTCCTAAATCAAATACAATATCCAACTGGTACTAATCCAACTTCGATAGTTGTTGGTCATTTCAATAATGATACTCAACTAGATATGGTTGTTGGTAATTATGTTGACAACACTATAAGTGTACGACTGGGTTATCCTGATGGATCATTTGGAAATGAAATAACATTTTCAGCTGGTTTCGCACCGCAAGCATTAGTTGTTGGTGATTTTAACAATGACACTCATTTAGATATCATCGTAGCTAATTATAATGAAAGCACCGTAAGTGTACTTCTTGGATATGGTACTGGCTCTTTTGCAAATCGAGCAGTATATGCAACTGGCCAAGGTCCATCTTCTATAGCTATTGGTGATTTTGACAATGATACTCATTTGGATATTGTTGTCACTAATGGCTGGTATCTAATTAACACTATGAGTGTACTTCTCGGAAATGGGAATGGTACTTTCAGAACTGCAATGACTTATGCAACAGGTTATACTCCATCGGCTGTAGATGTTGGTGATTTTAACAATGACACTATATTGGATCTTGTCGTTGTCAACAATTGGCAGAATACTGTTAGTATATTTCTCGGTATTGGTGATGGTTCTTTTCCAAATCAGATTATGTATTCAACTGGCACTGGGCCACAGGCAGTAGTTGTTGGTGATTTTAATAATGATGGTAAAGCAGATTTTGTTGTTGCTAATCTAGGTGACGCAAGTGTAAGTGTGTATCTTGGATACGGTGATGGTTCATTTACAGATCAAACATTGTATTCGGTTGGTACTGCACCAAACTCTATAGTTGTTGGTAATTTCAGCACCGATGCATATTTAGATATGGTTGTTGCCAATCTAGGTGACAACACTGTCAGTTTACTTCTTGGATATGGTAACAGTAGTTTTGCAACTCAAACAACATATTCAACTGGTTTAGCACCAAATGCTATTGCTGCTGGCGATTTTAACAATGACTTTCTGCTGGATGTTGTTGTTGGTAATCTAAATAATAAAAGTGTAAGTGTATTACTTCATTTTGTTGGAGGAGAGCTGACAAGTGAATCGGCATATGCATCTGGTGGTGGTTCACATTTAAAATATGTTATCGCTAGTGATTTCAACAACGATACACACCAAGATCTCATTGTTGCTAACTATGGAACTAATAGTATTGGTGTTCTTCTTGGAAATGGAACAGGTACTTTTGCAAATCAAATTAATTTTACAATGGGCTCAAATTCTCATCCGGCGTCAATCGCTGCCGGTGACTTTAATAAAGATGGGCAAGCAGATCTTGCAGTTGCTAATTATGGTTCAAAGTATATTGGAATGCTTCTTGGAAATGGAAAAGGCTGGTTTACAAGTCAAGTAGTTTATGGTGATAGTACGGATTTTGCTCCGTTAGTTGTAGCTGCTGGTGACTTTAATAATGATGGACAAACAGAAATTGTAGTCGCTTATGATGATAGTGATAATGTTGACGTATTTGTTGCATTTGATACAGGATTTTTCTATCCTAAAAAAACTTATCCAACTGATGTTGGTCCATGGTCTGTAGCCATCGGTGATTTTAACAATGACAGCCAACTAGATTTTGTCGTTACTAATAGTGCTGCTAATACCATAAGTATACTTTTCGGATATGGCAATGGTTCTTTTGCAATTGGGCCAACATATCAAACTGGTAAAAGACCATCAGCTGTAGCTGTTGGAGATTTTAACAATGATAATCAACTCGATATTGTCGTTGCTAATATGTATATTGACTTTACTCAGATAGATAGTCATCTCCTACTTATATATCTCGGATATGGTAATGGATCTTTTGTGCTTTCATCATATGCTTTCACTGGCATGGGCCCAGCAGCTATGGTTGTTGCTGATTTCAACAATGATAAACAATTGGATATCATAGTTGCTAATAGTTACCAAAACTATGTAAGTGTACTTCTTGGGTTTGGTAATGGATATTTTGCAGATCAAGTAACATATCTGACTGGTGGTGCCCCAGTGTCTATAGTTGCTGGTGATTTTAACAATGACACTCAACTAGATATCGTCACCGCTAATACTAATGATGCAACTATAAGTGTACTTCTTGGGTATGGTAATGGATCTTTCGCAGATCAAGTAACATATCCAACTGGAACTTATCCAGCTTTTGTAGCTGTATTTGATTTTAACAACGACACACGACTAGACATTGTCGTTGCGAATTCTGGTGACAGCAATGTAGGTTTACTTCTCGGGCATGGTAATGGTACGTTTGCAAAGCAGACAACATTTATAGTTGGCAACTCACCAGGAGCACTAGCTGTTGGTGATGTGAATAATGACAATCGACTAGATATTGTTGTCACTAATACAGGTGACAACACTGCTAGTGTACTTCTTGGATTAGGGAATGGTGCTTTTAGAGAACCGGCAGTATATTCAACTGGAGCTTTACCATACTTTGTAGTCCTTGCTGATTTCAACAGTGATAATCGACTGGATATGATCGTTGTTAACTACCGAGACAGTCGTGTGGGTATACTTTTAGGATATGCAAATCTTGCTTTTGTTAAACAAACGACACTCATAACTGGTAATGGTTCTCAACCAAAATCGTTTGTCATTGGAGATTTTAACAAAGATGCTCAACTTGATATTGCTGTCACAAATTCGGGCACGAATAATATGGGCATATTTCTTAGTTATGGAAACGGTTCTTTTGCTCTTCAGAAAACATATGCAACTGGTTCTTCTCCACGATCCATAGCAAGTGGTGATTTTAATAACGATACTATACTAGATATTGTTGTCGCTAATAGTGGCAGTGACAGTGTTAGTGTACTTTTTGGATATAAAAATGGTTCTTTTGCAAATCAAACAACATTTACAACTGGCTTTGAATCTGAACCATATACAGTAGCTGTTGGTCATTTTAACAAAGACATCTTTTTAGATATCGTTGTCGTTGATTATGGTCTGAGCAATGTGTATGTGTTTATTGGATATGGTAATAACACATTCGTAGGTAAATCCGTTTTTACACTTGGTTTTGGATCATCACCAATATCTTTAGCTGTTGCTGATTTCAATAATGATAAACAGTTGGATTTTGCTGTTGTGAACGAAGGCACTGACAACTTGAAAATTCTTCTAGAAACTTGTTAATGATACGAATTGTATAATACAATAATTTCGTTTTTAATTTTTTTCTTATCTTCTTTTATTTTTCCTTTTGTTTTGTTTAATTTTTTTATGATTTTGTAATTACATACATGGTGGTGGGTTATTTAATAAATTCAAATAAAAATAAATGTTAATTTTGTTTTCATACGTGTGAATATGGATGTGGTTTTATAAGTTGTGCTTATATGTCATATAGATATCAATACTTTCATTGACAACTATTCTTAAAAGTAATAGTTATACTTTATCTGGCATATTTTATTGAAACATGAATATTAAACTACGACACTCTTAAACTGCTGAGCAAACGTCCATAAGAGTCTCAATATATTTCATAGACGTATCGAGCAAGTCAATTAATTATAATCGATAGCATAAATTGATGAACATATAGTCTATACTTTGCATACACAATCACTTTTCAAATGCTCTTATTCACAAGAGAATGGGTCTGAGCCAGGCTTTGTAGCGACCCATCCTGATGATATAGGAAAATATATAGGAATTTTTTTCTTCAGTAATACGCTTATAATAGACTTACATCAAACGTTGCTTAGTGCTCATAATATCATAACTAGCTATCTTACTCAAAGTTGCCAAGAAATCGGAAACAAATATACACTTTTTAATCACTGGAGAAAATATTCAAAAAGTTCGATTCGAAAATAATTAAAAGAAGATATGGTATCAGTTGGATTTACTTAGATCTGATCAAAAGTTCGTGCACATTTTAAAAAAATATGAAGATAAGGAGATATTTTTGGTTTTATTTTATCAAGTGTTGAGGATAGGTGCCAGTTTTATTTATATCAAGTTCGATCCTTTTTAACAATTTGTCAAAAGTTTTTTTTTGAAGTCTTTTTCGAAAAATATTTTAGGTACCTTGGAAACCGCATGAATTAATCATGTTTCATTTCTTTTAAAAATTTAGCGAAATTTTGTTCAATCATGCCACTTGTGTTCTAGCATTACTAGTGGTGGGATATAGATTTACTTTATATAGGTTAGTCATAAGTCATTTGCTGCTAGCTGGCTTATTGAAGATGATTCGTCAGAGACTATTGTTCATGCAGACAAATTTTAACCAAAACTTTGTTTGGTATATTCTTTAAATCAAATGGGCCTGTTTTTATACATAGTGTAGATAAAGGCAGGACTGTAGGTCACAAGTATGATACTGAAAATTATCTGAACCCTTTTGTTAATGAAATATGGAAACAAACACAGACATCAGGTTAAAAATGTACAAAAATGATTGAAGACCACCGTTGACTTCATACTCATCCAATATCATTAATTATATGACAGAAGAAGACATCAATATAATCTCATACCCACCACATTCGCCAGGCCTGATACTACGTAGTTTTTGGCTAACTAATTCTATCGAACGTAGTTTAACTGATTAGATAGATGAAACATGATTAATTCATGCGGTTTCCAAGGTACCTAAAATGTTTTTCGAAAGAGACTTCAAAAAAACTTTTGACAAATTGTTAGAAAGGATCGAACTTGGTATAAATAAAACTGGCACCTATCCTCAACACTTGATAAAATAAAACCAAAAATATCTCCTTATCTTCATATTTTTTTAAAATGTGCACGAACTTGTGGTCAGATCTACATAATGATATATGTAGAGAAGCTCTGCGTTGTTGCTGATCGAAGAAATATATATTTCATTTGAAAAAAATAAATTTCTTCTAAATATAGGAAATATAGGAAGACTACGAAGCCTGTTCTTTTCTGTATAATAAAATATACGATCGCACAACAAACTGAAATTGAATGCTTGTGTTTGTAAAATTAGTAGAGAATGAATTTTCTTTATTCGTATATATGTGTATATTTGTTCTGAGAAGTTTCGAGAATGTATTACAATGCCGGATTATGAAATGTTTAAGTTCGAGGTATAAAAATAAAGAAAAAGTGCGATGCCATGATTTCTCAACAAGAGTGAGAAAAAGATTAAACAATAGAGAGTGTTGTATTATTCTTTATTTCATCAACTCCTACTGTCTGATTTCCCACTGAATAAAGAAACACAAAATTTTATTGGTAAACAACGTGCAAAATAACTTTGAAATCTATTGTTGTTGTATTGTCTTGATGTTGTGAAGAGACATAGGATAGTGTGGCAGTAATTGTATATAATTTTCTTACACCCATATTAATGTAGAGACGTGCAAAACATGAACTATTCGCAAGATTATATCAATAGAAAATACTTTATTGAGGCTTTAAACAGAGGAATAGAGACAAAAAATAAGTTAAACTTAGATATTTTCGAGTTTATCATAACACCTTGAAAGTTTTAGAAAAAACTTGTAAGCTTTGGCAGAAAGTGTGGTATCTTTTCAAATTTTTCGGACTAGATTCTGTAAATAATTGACTCAAAAGTCTTCTTGTTTCTTTGATGGTGAGAAGTCTCTCGAAAAGTAATATGCTAGATATATATATATATTGTTCTCTTAATTATTTTATTAATTTAAAAAGAAACAACTTTGTTTGTTGCATTTATTTGAAGCTATGCATCATTTTTAAGTGTGTGAATTGAAAATTGATCAAGACTAAGACTAAATGCTTTCTTCATATTTTAATCTAAAGAAATTGTTCAAGACGTATAAACTATCATGATGTTGCTATACATTAACAACGCGGAAAAAAAGCGTCGCAATCATAATTTTCAATGAAGAAAGACATAAGAAACTTGTCTGAAAAAAACAACAACAACAAAAATAATCGGTGAAAAACCCACAAAAAATGCAAAAAGTAATGTTCGTCGTCTCGACTCACTTTGTTCTCGACTGTGTAAGGCAGAAGTCTTTTTTTGCATGCGCCAATGTGCGAAGAATTTTGCACACCCAACCTATTTTACCCACACTTTCCTTATTTCACACCCACCCACTGTGTTCTACCAACTGTCACCACAATCCACCCACCCAATCAGCTCATTTTCGCCCACACCCACTCTATTCCACCCATCCAGCTTACTTTCATCCACACCCACCCTATTCCACCCACTCAGCTTATTTTCATCCACACCCACTCTGTTCTACCCACACCCATCCGCCTCCGGTCTACCCCACCCACACCCGCCCTATTTCACCCACCCAGCTCATTTTCATCCACACCCACCCTATTTCACTTACCCTGATCGTACTCCACTCACCCAGCTCATTCTCACCCACACCCATCCTGAGCTATAAACATATTTATAAAAGGAATCAGCATGTGTCGCTTTCTTCGATGTTTATTCAAAAAACAGAATATAAAAATAATGAATTAATTGAATATATATTTCACATGAATCTAAAGGAAACTCATTGGTTGTTTTCATCTACCTTTATCAATGATTCACAAAAGTAGCGAAAGAACATTGTGTTAGGTAGAGAGATAAATGCATCATAACAGAATTAATAATGAAACATGCATTGTAATCGATAACAAGTGAAAATATTGTTACACTATTCGATAACTCTTTTATTCACAAAAATGTTTCTATTATGATTGGTTTTTGAGTGTGGGTATCTCTTCCCATTATCTATCCGCACCCATCCTTAAGATAGAATAATATAGTTTGACAGAGTAATCAATACTTCATTTGCATACTGTAGACTACTAAAACTAACATAATCAAAGTGTATAGTGTTTGTATAGATTCTTTATTAATAATATCTTTAAAATATAATATGTTCTTAAGCAAAATCAACTTCAAATTTTTGTATTCGATTATTTGTAGCGTCGCTAACATAAAGATTGCCTTGTTTATCAAATACTAAATCTTGAGGTGTATTTAATTGCGTAGACAAATTTCCATATCCATTTCCACCAATAATTATTTCACCTTCTTTATCTCCTTCACGCCAACGAATTATTCGATGATTTAACGAATCTGCAATATATATTTGACCTAAATGATCCATAGCTAATCCGAGAGGACGATCTAATGTATTACTATCATTTCCACTAGCAAAAATAATTCCTTCTTTTGCATCTTTTTTCCATTTCATTATTCGATGATTTGGTGTATCTGATATATAAATCGAATAATTATCATCAACCAAAATAAAAGTAGGATTATCTAGTTGATTAAGATCAGATCCAACACCATTTCCACCTGCAATGATTATTCCATTTTTATCGCCTTGATTCAATCGTAACACTCCATCAAAAATAGTTATATAAAGAGATCCATCTTTATCTAATGCTAAACCAATACACATAAAACCAGAAATAATAACTTGTGGATCGATTTCCTTTTGATGAAACCATCGAACTACACGACGATTATTTTGATCACAAATGATTAATGAATTATTATTATATTTATCAATGATAACATCGGATGGAGTAAGCAATTGATGAATATCATCTTCATCCTCTTCATTTCCACCAGCAACAATTTCTCCATTGCTTGAACTAATTTTCCATTGCATAATTCGGTTATTTGAGGAATCAGCAATATAAATATAATTATTCTCTTCATTTATACAGATTCCTTGTGGATAATGGAGTTCATTTAACTGATAACCCGCGTCCCCTCCTCCGACGATTGTTATTCCACTCTTTTTCCATTTCAATGGTTCTTCAGTTAAAGAAAAAAAACAAAACAATGATGAATAATTCTTATAGAAAAATATTTAGAATGTGAGTTCTCATTCATAGATAAGTTTGACTATTCAAATGAACATTTTTTTTGCCAGAAAAGTATTGAGTTGAATTATAATTAGTTGAATAATATTTTAGTCTCATTCTTATTTATTAATTCTAAAGATGATTTGTTTCATAAGAATTCCGTTTAGTATATTAGAAAAAGTAAATATCTTCTATCTCGCTACTATTTAAAGTAGTTTCTTTTTTCCATTAAATTGTGTCATGAATGATACATACTTGATGTTGTTATTTCTGTTAGGGGTGAAGGTGTTGTTGTTAATGTTTCTTTGATTTTTTTATTTGGTCTGTTCGCAATAATTATTGAAATAATGATGATTAGAATCAGAATAATAACAACAAATATAATCAATAAACATTTTTTTCTTCGAATATTTTTACAACTAAAATAATTCATTTTTTTATTATTATTAAATACTATATAGCACAATTGAGAATTCAATTGAGGTTTGAGTGAGGATTTAAAGTATAGAAATATTCACACTCTTACACCTTGAAAAACGGAGAAAATGGCGGTTTTTTGTGAGTGTGAAAGACTCACAATCGTAGTTCTCGATTGTGCGTCTATACGTCTTTTTTGTAAATTTCTGTCTACTCAAGAATATATGAGTTATGACAAGCCATAACACATGTATACAGCTCAATTCGATGTTTCATATAAATGTCGTTGACTTAGAAAAACATTTTATTCATCATTTATAATATACATACCATGTTTCTTGTTCAATATTTGTTGTTAAAGGAATATCGTTGTTAATTGACTGACTCTAAACAAAAAAAAGAAATAAAAAATTATTCTTTTTCTTTTTTGTTCAATAAAAACTTACATTTTCAACATGTATTCTGTTATCTTGCATAGTTGATGATTTTATCAAATAAGTTGAAAGATTTCTCGTTGATTTCAAATTAGAATCTACAAAAATAAACTAGAAAATAGATGTAAAACATTGCTACATATTTTTGTTGTTGTTTCTATTGATTTTGTTTACAGTTAGTGCGATCCTGAAAGTCAAATAAATATAAAATCATATCAAAACTACTTCCACTTTCAGGAAAAACATTTTTAAAGTAAAACGTTTGTTTTTCCTTCAAGAGGTAAAAGTCAACGATATTACACATTTTATTCATGTCTGTGCTGAACCATATCTGACATTTACTCCTACTTCTCACAAGTCTGATCTCTACAGTTATTTTTCGCACACGATGCTAACTTATGTATGCTTTATCCACGCTGACTTTCTTCATAAATCTATCCTTATGAGATAGAAATCTTTCATCCTTATTGTCAAGACTTTCTTCATCTACGAATCTTTATCATGGATACATCGTTCTTACTTTACTTATACAATAATTACGTTACCATTTGAAATATATTGTTATTCTTTTGAAGTGTAGTTATAAAGATATTCATAAAAAAATAGTACATTACTAATGAAGCAGTTACGAGCAAATTTATATAATCGAGTTGATAAAGTTTATTTGAATAGAAAATATTGAGTAAGACCTTCTAGAATATTCTATTTGCTGTTTTTTGAAAATTATTCATTCAGACAAATATTGATAAGAAGAGAATGGCGTGACAGGATATCAATGAAAAAACAGTAAGGTTTTATCTATTATATTTATTTGTAACATATGTCGATTTACGTATTTCCTTTTGTGTTGAAAACTCATTAAAATAATACAAGATTATACACACTTTTATTTCACAGGATTAATTTATTGTTATCACTAAAAAAAACATACTAACGAGTGTGTGGGTGTGGATGCATGTGGCTATGACTGTGAGTGTCTAGCTACACCCACACACACCTTCAAGAGAGAATAGTTCACGAGTTGATTCTCAAAAGATTATCAAAATTGTTGATCATCAAATATTTAGTCAGACATACTCGCGCACCGAACTGTAACCTAATGTCAATTGTATAAAATATTTAAGAAATAGTGTTTTCATAATTAATTTCTATATTTTCTTTTCTAATTGTTCACACTTAATTTTCCAATTTGATTTCGGCTTCTATTCGTAACATATGATGATTTTTATTTTATTTATTACAACAAAAAATGATTCCCATAAAGATCGCCATAAAAAATACAATTAGAACGATTAAATGGAGTTTGTTGTTTTTCTAACCATTCCATTTGTTAATGGTCTTGATCTTGTTAAGTGTTTCTTGATCGACGATTGAAAATTCTCCGAAAATAAATACAAATAAAAAACTTAATTTCAACATTCGTGATAAAATATGTTCAATTATATGAGTTTTAATTTCAACACCTAATGATAAACATTCACATTTGTTTTCAAAAAATCGATACCATTCGTTCAATTTCATATTCATTGAAACATTCCGATATATTTCCATAGGACTGAGATTTTAAAATACGAATCTTTTGTGATAAATGTTTACATATATGAAAA